GGCCTGCTCACACCCAAATTAGTCATTATCAGACCAATTCTAGTAATGATCCTATTGACACCTAAAATACTGAAACTGCCTAGTTGCATTGTGAGCTCGTTCAAGGAACATCACCCATAACCAGGTGTGATCAGTCTCTATTGTCTCTCCTCTTTCTCTTTGAACTATCTCTATACAACTCCTATCCTTGCCCCAAGAAAACTGTTCTGATACCTGGACTTAAATTGCATCAGTTCCATTGAGACTTCATTATCTCCTGTCTGATCGTGCTGGGGGCTCTGCTCTGCTTGTCTCCTGCCCTCTGGACCCCCCGGCTACCATCATCATCTGGGAACCCCGATCGGTGCAAGCTCCATGGAGTGGAGTGGTGAGGTCTCTCTCTCTCTCTCACATCAACTCTCTCTCGAAGCATAGCCTCCTGACCCTGCCCTATGTAAACTGTTATATGGTTATTTACTATTGTAATTGTTAGATTTAATATTGTAACTGTTTGATATCTATTCACTACTCAGAAATAAATCACTTTCATTGTTAAACTGGTTGCTTCTCTCTCTTTCTTTCTCTTTTGCTCACTCTTCCTTAAGGGGTGTTGTTTTGGCTTCCCCATTCGCTCTGCAACAATGCTTCTTGTACCCAAGCAAAAGATCCCTGTAGTGCTCAAAATCCTGTGGGGTTTGCTCATCGTGTGGTTTACCAGTGAATGACTGTGGTGTGAAAGTGGGGATGGGGGTGCTGAACCTGGGGGCTTATGAGGATGGCAGCTTAAAGTGCTATTTAATCCAGCCCACGGAGTCCAAAGGCACATGAGGGTGCAGTGTGGCATTGTTGTGAAACCCAGCCAGCTGAGTCCAGGGACATATGAGGGGGTCAGCTTGTGAGTGCTGAGTACCCAGTCCTCTCAGACGTGCTCTGATTAGTGGGTGTGAGTGTCTGTGTGTGTTGCCAAGGTGGTAAGAACCCCACCCTGAGGAACCTAGTTCCTGCAGGAGAGCTCCAGTGGGAGGGGGAATTGGCAGCAGGGAGAATTCAGCTCCATAGGAGACCCCAAGTAAGCACCAACAGCACAGGCATGAGGCAAAGAGAAGAATTTCTTGTTTGTAATTCCAAGGAAGCAGAGAATTAGAATACATTGGTCATGTTGTTGATGAATGGGGTTAATAACTCCAGTTTTGGCAATATGACTTTTTCTAATATTGCTATTTTTTAAAAAGTAATGGTCCAATAGCTAATTACCAAATTCTGTATACTGCTGATTTACTTGATTAAGAGTAGGAAAAATGTAGCAAAAGAAATGTTTGTACTTTACTGTAAATGTAATTATTCTTTCAAAAGTATTTATCTAAAGAAGCATGTTCAAAGAAACCAAAGAAATGGATGTGCAATAAAAGCATAAAGATGGTTTGAATAATTAACAAGTTTTGTTTGCATTTAGAGTGTTTGCGCTAAATCTTGCCAGTCTAGACTTAGCCTAAGTGTGTACAGGGACCAGACAGGTAGAGGCACCGCAATTTTATATTCCTTTTGAGGTAAGGGACAGCAGCAAAAGAGGTGGATAGGGGATTCCCAACTGTCCAACATCACCACTGGGGTTCTCAGGATCTCCTTTTATGTTAAAAGCCATCAGGCACCCAGGCATACAGGTGAACATGGCCTGCTCCCAAGTAACCCAGGGAGGAAAGAGGGGGTTACATCACATCAGTGGAAGCACTGATCTTAAAAGCACAAATCCTGTATTTTAAAAACAATTAGGCCTTATTCATTGGTTTACAGTCTAAGGAGGCTAATGGCTACTTGCAATAAAATTTGACTCTATCCAGGTACTTATATCACACTAATAGCCATTTCTGGGCATCTTAAATGCCTTATCAGTGACAAATATCAAAGTATCATTCTGCTACTAGAACCACAAAAGAAGCTCACCAAAACAGGGGTGAGAAAGGAGAGGAAAAAGGAAAACTAGAAATACAAGTCAACACAGAATGCTGACAGAAGAAACACACTGAAATAAAATGATCATATGACTGCAACGTTTGCAATTAACCACCAAAAACTAATTAAAACCATCTTGATAATGTTAAATCAGCTAACAAAACTAAGGATAAATACAATGAAGCACAAAAGCCTCACATTTCTCTCAAAAAAACAAGCCATTTTTTAGAAGCATTAAGTTGCCAAGGTAGCACCCTACAGAGAATATATATTATAGAACATCTTGAAGCACTCTTCACATGTAACTGAACATTTCCGTCTATTGATTTATATAAAAGCTAACATTGCGGAAGTGATCTTTATAAGCAGAATTACTTTGAGTCAAATTTATAACACAGCAAGAAAACTCATATTATAATTCTTTAGCTCTTAATTCTAATCTGAGATGCATGGAGTAATTACTCAGGATAAGGTATCTAAAAAAAGATTGCTACAACACACTTCATGCGCAAATAGATTTTTCAAGTGTGACAATGCATGGCTTCCAAATTGAGATCAGAATGAAGCCTGAAGTCTGTAGACTATAATTTAGCACTTGGAATAAAACTAAGCTCCGGAGTTGTATTAGGCTCCCAGCACTGTCTAATAACTATAATGTATGTAAAAGAGGAATGTATTTTACATTGTCCTTCTAATTTCAATTGAGTTGATTCCTGAATTTGAGTGTTATTAAAAACAATTCCTGGATGAAATTCTGTCCTCCATGATTGGGATTTTATAGCAACAGCTGGATTCAGAGGGGTTACATGTATGCAACAGAAAGCAGAAACTGGCTCTGCAAAGTATTTGTTCAGTCTTCTTCATAAACTGGTAAAAAAAATCACTATTATTTTTTAAGCTGTTAACATTTCAAGTGAACGGGTATACCTCTAATCCTGCAAGAAGTCCAATTAAGCTGTGTTTACAGAAACACCCTCTAAAGGTGTTTGTCTTAATAACACATATTGAGAGGTAAATATCTTTCAAGGGTTTTTTCCCCCCTAAGTTACTCCTTGCAAATGGTAAATACAAAGGCAACAAAACCCATTAGGGATTTACTTTCTTCCCCTTACTCTTAAAAGCTTTCCAACTGATTTTCACAAATGTTTCAAACTAACAACAACTTGTATATTATATTCAGCCTAAAAGGTAGAGTTTCAAGCCTCTGAAAATAGGGTTTGGATATAAAAGTAGAAATAACTTTAACTGAAGTGACTCTGCAGTTACCAATGTTGATAAGTGTAACAAAAATAAATCTTACTACTTTACAGAAACATTAAACTCTAAGCACAATATATTTCAACATACTCAAACACTTTTAAGGAGCATAGTTCTTGGAAAACACATTTCAACTTTGAGATTCATAATTTTCCTGATATTATGATACATGTAAAACTGCTACTTCACACTCTCATCGGCAATCATATCTGACAGCAATTGGAATAATTAATTTTAGGAGAACTCACAAGTAGATATGATAAAATTATTTAAACCTTTTAAAATTTAATCACTGATAAATGCATGTTGATAAAAACTCTAAGATTTGAAGTCATAAAATTAAGATTAATAGCCCAGCTTCTGACACATCATTGATTTCTGAATAGTGGTGTCCACAGGCCCAAATCAGAATCATGGTTTCATTGAGGTACGCACTGTACCCTATTCTAAAGGGTCCACAAGATGCAATAAATAAGTTTAACAATAGGAGGTGGTATTTGAGCCTGAACAATGTTAGGAACAATAGCAACTACAAGACCAGGTGTTTGCACAATTTTATAATTCTAAGTTATTGACAGTCATTTTTCCCTCTTTAGTTTAAAACATAAGAGTTAGATATTAGTAATCCCCACTGATCCTCTGCCAACTAATAATGGTAGATAATCTTTTGTAAGCATCATGGTAGAAGTGAACCTTGAGGAAGGATTTGAAAGGCAGGGGAGGGAAGAGTACACAGACTCCACAGACTACATAAAGGAAGATTATCCTTGAATAAGATGAAAGCACGAAGACACACTGAGGAGAAATAACAAAATGATTGATCAAGGCTGGCATCACTGGCAGGATGGAGAGTGGATATGTAGGGAGATTTGAGTAATTTATATGTACCAGCCTCACAGATCTAAGTAAAAAAATAAAGATAAAATGTCTGAATTAAAACATGTACACACTAGTATTGCAACCTTAAGCTTCACACCATATTTACAGGAAACTACAAACGTATGGAACGAGCCTCCTCTCCTTTATACTAGTTTTACAATAGTAACTCCTAATTCTGACTGGTATAATTTAGTGAAGAATCAGGATACTGAACAAGTTAGGTGTGCATAACTGGGTTCTATATAAACTCTTAACTTTTATTTGGGTTTCCTTTAATACGTTTTGAACATTGATGCCTAAATTAATGCTGATGCAATAGGGCTACTCTGTTAATGCAGTCTTCCTCTACCCAGTCCAGCCATATCAGCCACACAGTGAATGAGGTGACAAGAGTAGCTGTTTAAGTGACCCCATTCTCCAAATGTGCCGTTCCTCTCAGAATGGGGGAAGGGGGGGGGGGGTTGGCAGACAATATTAAGACATACTACAGTTTAATGTAATGAAATAAACACACTGGTTTGTTCCATCATTTCTGACTTGATCATCTGGGACAAGGAAATGTAGTACTTTTGTAGAGATAGGTATTACAGCAGTCTCCTAGCATGATGAATTACTGACTTGTCTGAAATGTTTATGATTAATTATCTCTAAGTTACACTGACATGTTTCTCTCACACACTTTAAGAATACAAAACCATCCGAGTAACACTCAGAATAAAAGTGTCAGTTTCTATCATGCAAGCTAATATTAAAACCATGTGAAAACAAAATCAGACTGTAAAAACCAAAAGAGCAAACAAGTCACATTATGACCCCACTCAAAGAACTTATGTACAGATTCAATCATACTGGAATAATCATTAAGAAAATGAATTAGGCTGATGCTCATCCCCCAAAAAACAAACAAAAACAAAAAACTACAATGAGCAGAGTACCTTTTAGCACTAGTTGATAGTTTAGCAGCTGTTTTGCTAGAGATCTTGCCCTCCTTTTTCTTGGGTTGAACCTGCTCCCTTTCTTGCTCTTGCTGAACTCCCTCACGTTGATCTCCATCAGAGCTGCCTCCACTAGTGCTTGGGCTATCATCAACTCTTTGCCCTTCAGTGGACATTTTAGACTCCAAGCTAAAGGAGACAAAAGCAAGTAAGGAGTCTTCTTGAAAGTGCCTGATAACATAGTATTGTTACTAAACTTTTTATAAAGATAGTGATCGACAAGACAAAGAAATCACTTGCATAATATAGTACTCTATTCTGCAGTATTGAAGAATCTAGCTATAAATACCTATAAAGTAACTAAAAGATGACCATTTTACATAAACTACAAAAATACACATCAAAATATGAAAAAAATCTTTACATAAGAGATCTAAAATCAGAAAAAATAAATATCCTTCTGGGTAAGTGGAAAATCATCAGAATGATAACAATCTAATACTAACGGAATGGAGAGATCACGGGATTGGTGATGGGATGAAGGGTCTGTCACTTCTAGGATATCGATTCAAATCAGGCCCCTTGTTAGCAATGGCAGTCATTACTATTTTAAAACTACTCGTTAGTCCAGACTCCTTACATGTGGGCTAACGCCAACCCTAATAGATGGGTTTTCAGTCTAGAATTCACATTTTCACCGGTTGATGGAGAAAGTTCAATTTCTATGTCCTTTTTAAGCCTTACCTATCTTTTATAGCTAGACATGATATTCCAGCACAAGGGTTTAAGCACACCAGTGGGGAAACATAAGGAAATCTGTACTGCTGAAGCCAGTTTTGTGAGCAGAGGATATCAGACTATAAAACTGTCAACAAACATTAGTTCCAGAGAAATCTAACTTTATCTTGACATATTTCATATGACTAGTTCTCAAGTAACATTTAGCTATATTCTTTTCTTCTGTCACTTCAATCATTGAATTTCTTCAACTATAGGCTGTTTAAATTAACATGGTTATGATCATTATGACTTCTCCAACTCTTGTAAATTAAGTTTTTTCTTGGGCATTAGATCTAAGATTGCCAGATGCAAAAGCAACAATTGATAAATGAATTTACCAGAAACCTGAAGCAACAATAGAAGGCCCTTTCTTACCTCTAACACCACTATGTTCTCTTTTAGATATGTTATTAAAGGACAACTTTAATAGTACACAAAGCCAACTTTTGTTCAGTCATGTGGGTTGTGCAGATGTAACTCAGTGGAAGTGTACAGATGTAATTAACATCAGAGTCTGACCTACAGTGTACAATGAGATTTGAATTCAATATGGTTCACAGACTAAAACTTTATTGCGTTTATTCTTTTAGCTATATACAGAAACAATATGCACAATAGCAGTTACAGAAGACAGTACATCTCAATTGAGATATTCTGCAATAGTCTCTCCAAGGCTTGAAACAGGATTCCACAGTCTGACTCAAACAGCAGTTCTCAAACTGAGTCAGGACACAAAAGTGGGTCGGAACCCCACTAAGAGGGGTCATGAGAGTTGGCTTTAGACTTACAGAGGCTAAAACCTGAGCCAAAACCAACCACACAGGGCAAAAGGAAGAGAATGTTAACCCTGGAACTGGGGCTTGTGTTCTGTGCTCCCCCGCCACCCTGGGTTAATGCCCTCTGGCTCTGGTTCCCCAACTTGGGCCAGTGGGGTTCAGGCAGGTTTAGGTGTCAGTCCCCCATCCTGGGATTGTGTAATATTTTTTGTTGCCAGAACGGAGTTGCAAGAATGGAGTTGCAGTGCAATGAAGTTTGAGAACCCCCATCTAAAAGTGTAAAATTTATAATAGTTTGCTCTAACTGACTAAAACCATGTTGTTCAACCAGTTCTGAAGCAGTAGCCACATTCAACCAGCAAAATAGCCATATGTGGCTAGTGTGTTGGACACAATGAGACTAAAAGTTTATCAACAGTTTGTAACTGAACGTTAAGATGTAAATCATCTATCCAGACAGTATCACCAACATGGATATGGTAGAGGGCAAAGGAAGGAAGAAAAAGCTTCAGACACACCAAGGTGGTATCGGTATGTGTGATGGACGGGGCATTGGGGGGGAGGGACAGGAGAAGAGGACTAAAGCAAACAAATAAAGGGCCAAAAATTGTTATAGTTACATCCTGAAAAGAGTTTTCTGCAGTTAGGAGCATTACTAAAATCTTAAAATTTATCAAACAGTATAGACTTTCCTTATTATTTGTATCAATAAATCGTAACTCATATTAATTAAATCCCTCTAGATAATTTATATGACTATCAAAGCAATGAGGTTTAGAGGGGTGGGGTTCAGAATACTTAAAGAAAACAGTTGATGGATACTAGAACAGATTAGCTTTAATCATATTTTGTTTTGATTAAGAATATAGTTACATTGCACAGACTTAGTGATGCATTTAAGAATTGAAAATAATGCTTTAACTTCAACCGTTAAACAATTGTTATTTCCTTTTTTCCCCCCCTACAGCAGACACTATTTTCCATTTTTTACATTTTAAATAGATTAATCTGTAGGCATCTACATTTCAGCTGTAAAATCTAAATGGAAAAAAAGAAAACTTTAAGAGATAAACAAAAGCTACTACACACACACACACACACACACACACACACACACACACACACAGAGAGAGAGTTTCAAGACTGAGTTACAATTACTAAACGAAACAAGGTAGGTGAGGTATCTTTTATTGGACCATCTTCTCTTGGTGAGAAACAAGCTAAAAGATTACCTCTCCCATCTTGTGTCTCTAATATCCTGGAACCAACGCTGATACAGCTACACTTCATATAATTATTAAATGCACATTTTGACTTTGCAGCTAGCTATATAGCTATATTTTCCTATGTATAAAAATAAAGCAATATTTCCTTAAAATGCTTGAGAGAGTCTTTATTTGCTCTTCTCTTCAAGTTCGGATATTGATCTGTCATTTACATTTAATTTTATGAGAGGATTACCCACACCGTATACATATTTACAACTGTTGGCCAAAAAAAGCAACATTTTTTAATGAAGCCTATTTCCACAGAAAGTCAGCTGTGGCTAATCCTGCTATAAATATTGCTATTATCCAAGAACTACTGTACTATTTTATGAGTTCAGGTTACTACCCAACAGATATATGCAGAAATAGTACCCCATAATGTATCATTACAGCTTTTACAACAGGAAAATGTTTAAATCTGTCATTTAATGTCTAGCTATTTCTCATTTCCCTCTCCGATGCAAATATTTTCTATACCTTCCCTTTTATTTTCTCTAAATAAAAAAAAAAAAAAAATCAAGATATATTTTACTTAAGATTTAAAAGCTACATTTAACCTCAATAAAAGGATATTTAAAAGGGTCTGTGAGGTCAAACCTTCAAATATGTGGCCAAAATAAGAAACACAACAAACAAGAGTGGAAAAATCAACATGGGGAATGACACTGTGGGAAAACATTTCAATGCAATTACGCAAAACACATAAAATATTTTTTGAAGCCAAGTATCCCCAAGACACAATTCAGTGCAAACAGAAAAGCAAAAGACTATGTGCTATTCTCTGAATTGCTAAATTATGCCACATTCAGAATTTAAACCCTCTGCTGCCCTTGTATTGTGAGAGCTGGATGGAGGGAACAGAAGGAGGATTACAAGTATTACCCTAAAGAATCATGATGTATTTAAACACCTTGATATTAAACCCGATCTGTAAATTTTGAAACCAAACATGTTCAAGACAACTTACTTATTTCATTTACCCAATCAACCCGCCATCAAAAAACAACAGCTGCAGCCAGGGAAAAAAAGATTCCAGCAATGTGCAGATAGGTCCTGAGGGCAAGAGAGCCAGGGATGATGCCTCTCTTAAATTGACTTGATTTCTTAGAACCAAAAGGACAAATGCAACTTTTCTTCTGGGTCCATGGAAAGCAGTAGCAGGAGCAGCTACCTCGCTCCATCTTAATTAGAAACCATTAAGGGCACACAAAAAAAATCTTAACATTACAGGAGAAAAAGCAGGAAGAGTCCAATTCATAGCCAACCCCAGGCCAGGGTCTATGTTTGAGGGACCAAAAAATAAAATGCTGCTGCTGCTGCAGCTCCAGACCAACACACACACACACACCCTTCTCCTGTTTTCCTGCTGCCTGGAGTGGGAGGGAGAGGCACTTGTCATAGAGACTCAACATAATTAAGCAGTACAAAAAGATAGCAGGGGACTGAAATGGGCATTTTTCAAAATGACATTTATCCTGCACTTTCCAGATCCTTTCTTCCTCCACACAAAGTAATACAGAGAAAGTGGAAAGAGAGGATGGAAGAGAAAGGATATGGGGCAGAGGCATTAGGGTGAGAAGTAGTGGACAGCAGATAATAGCAGGAGAAGAATTTGTAAGGAAAGCATAGAGGTCATGTAAGGAAGAAATGGGGGTTGGGCAAGATGAGCTACGGGATTAGTTTGCTCTTGTCACCATGAGTGGAGTGGTTTATCCATCTCTGCTGTAGAAGAGGTAGTTGCATAAGGTAGAATTCCTTACTGGTATTTGCTAATTCCCATCCTTATGTATTTCTGGAAGGGGGATTTCTCCCCATCCCTCTCCTTGAGGGGATGTTTATATCAGTGAGAACAGAGATAAGGGATTTATGGGGGAATGGAATTATTTGACCCATATACATGTCTGTGCATGAGTGCAGAGAAAGGATAAGGGGCGTTTAAGAACAAGGTCCTAAGGAGCAGGAAGGGTATTTCTAGGGGACAGAAGGACAATGCAGAGAAGAACAAAAGGTAAAGAATTACTGGTGATGATACAAGGATGGTTAGAGGCAAAAGAAGGTGGTCTTTACCTGTGTGGGGGAGTACTGTAGGGGATAGTGAAGGAGGGATTGCTGGAGGATGCAATTAGTATTGTAGGAAAACTGAGAGAAGGCATTGCTAGGACCCTGGGTGAGGAACAGAGGCAGGAAGGATGTGGGGTACCAAAGGGAAGAGGGGCAAATTGATGGGGCTAGGCAGGGAGACATGGTGAGCGTATGGGGGCAGGGAGATGGATGGGGCTGTTGCAGTGAGATGTGGTGGGGTGTCAAAGGGTGGGGGATGTGGTAGCAATGACACAGGACACGAATGTTCTGGGGAGCTGTGGGACGGAAGTAGCTGGGGAAAGAGATGTGGGACAGGCAGTGTTAGCTGGAGAATACAGGAATGGGCAGATGGTGAGGCAGAGGACATAGTAAGTATAAGAGAACAGAGACTGATGGAGCTAGGGTGGGAAGCACATAGGAATTGGTGGGACTATGTTTTGGGGAGGATGGATGAAGGGGCAGGGGGTTAAGGCTATGGCGGAAGAATGGGATAAGGTGGGCTATGGAAGGAGGATGGAGAGGACAGAGGAGCAGGGGACGTGGTCAGGGGACAAGTGATGCTGGAGCAGCCAGAGGGATGGGGAGGAAGAGGAATGGGGCAGGTGGTGCTGGTAGGGGGCAGAGGAACAGGGCAGGGGGGAGCTAGA